GTTCGTTTTGGTCCCTTGCTAAAGCGGTCGGAAGAAATTGCACCAATAGTTCATTTCCACCACTGTCCAAATCCGACGGCACATTAGCAACAACATCGCAGGAGAAAGCAAATATTTTTGCAGAGATGTTCGCAGCTAACTCTACTTTATATTCCTAAGGAAAAGTGCCGCCAGACATTCCACCCGTTGAGAGTCGAATGCCCGAAATCGTCCTCCGTTAACGCACTATCAGACGAATTTTGCTTGGTCTCAAAACGAATAAGGCTAACGGTCCTGATGGAATTCCACCCATTATCCTCAAAAAATGTGCACCAGAGTTAACACCGATTCTCTGCAAGTTGTTTACTGTCTCGTACAGGTCGGGTATTCTTCCATAATGCTGGAAGAGAGCTAGAGTCCAACCAATCCCCAAAAAAGGGAATAAGAACCTGCCCAATAACTACAGGCCCATTGCAATGTTATCAGTAATCTCCAAAGTGATGGAGAAAGTCATCAATATTGAGCTTTCCAAATATCTAGAGAGCTCAGGAATCATCAATGATAGACAATACGGCTTTCGCCACAGAAGATCTACTGGAGATCTACTTGCTCACGTTACCCATTCATGGCAAGCTTCATGAGAAAAACACGAAGAATCTCTAGCTGTCGCGTTGGACATATCGAAAGCATTCGACCGTGTTTGGCACGAAGGACTCCTCCACAAACTACCATCATACGGCTTACCACCTCAGCTATGCCATCTCTTATCGAGTTTTCTTTCAGGCAGATCGCTTCACGTGGTGATGGACGGTGTATCTTCTGATACCATTGGCATCAATTCCGGCGTTCCACAAGGATCAATTTTGGCACCAACTTTATTCCTGCTTCATATCAATAATCTGTTGGGAGTAACAACTTGCCCCATCCACAGCTTTGCAGATGATAGTACCCTCCATACTGCGTTCTCTTCCAGAATTTCCATTTCTTCCCAGGAAACTCAGAACTCACGGCGCAGGCAGGTCAATGCTGTCAATAAAGATCTTGCTGAAATCACAGCCTGGGGAACCAACAACCTAGTTGAATTCAACGCCACCAAAACTCAAGCTTGCATTTTCTCTAGAATGGCGGAACTCAGTATGCCCGATATTGTAATGTCTGGCTCCACCATTTCCACCAAGCCATCTATGCTCGGTAATTCCATCAGTAACACTCTTCCATGGGATAATCATGTCAGATCCATCGCAAAAGCTGCTTCGCAAGAACTCGGATTCTTGTTTCGTGCGAAAAGCCACTTTACACCTCAACAGCTTCCCATGATCTACAAAGCGTAGATACGGCCTGTTCTAGAATACTGTTTCCACATATGGGGTTCAGCACCAAAACATACGCTGATGCTCTTAGATTCCATCTAGAGAAGAGCCATTCACCTGGTGGGTGACGCCACACTGACTCACTCTTTGACATCATTGGAACACCGTAGCAAGGTCAGCAACCTTTCACTTTTCTATCGATACTTCCACGGGAAATGTTCTTCGGAAATCTCTGCTATCATCCGTTCACTAGCAATACCAATCAGACGAACTAGACAAGCCCAGTCAGCACATCCTTTTGTTGTCAACCTCGAAAGATGTCGAACAGCACTTTATCAAGACTCCTTCATCCATAGAACGGCTAGGCTCTGGAAGTCATTGCCTGTGGAAGTATTCCCAACAACATAATTATAATCTCCAAAAGTTCAAAAAAAATTCCAATACCTACCTCCTGTCCCTATCCTCGCTAGGATCGCACGATGTTCTTTGAACATTATAGGAATTCCCGTTCGTGCGCTCCAAGCGATAAAAAAACATACCCTGAAACTGTTGGATTCTGCCAAAAAAAAAGGGCAATTCGTCTCGTGGGTGATGCCTTGCTCACAAACTCACTCACTTCTCTGGAACACCGTAAACAAGTTGGCAATCTGGTTCTATTTCATGGATATTTTCATGGACGATGCTTTTCTGAAATATGATCAATCGTTTCTTCCTTGTCAATCTCCGCGAGATTATTCAGTAGAGTTTCGCACCTCTTCGTGGTCACTTTGAAGACCTGCAGAACATCTCTTTCCAAAGACTCGTTCATCCAATGAACAGCGAAGCTCTGGAACACATTACCAAGTGAGGTGTTCCATGAGGCATATTACGTCCAGAAATTCAAGAAGAACACCAATTCCTACCTTGTTCTTCTTGGTTCTCACGATGTTCTCTGAACATTACAGGATATCCCTTTTCGTGGGAACCAGGACATAAAAAAAAATATAGGGTTTCCAAAATCGACCTGTTCATAATTTTCCAAAGTAATCAGAACAAAGAACTTGCAGCTAAAGTTATTATTATTTTTATTGGAGGAGCATCAAATAAACTAATCTGTACAATAATTAGTCTACCATTTCAGGACACTACACAAGCCATCATTCATAAAAATCTCACAATTTGCGCACCCGTTGCAAATGCCATCTTCGCCACGCCCTCGGTCCGGCTCTCCCAGATAGCACAAATTCCTTTTGAGGCCCTTCTGAGGCGTTCTTAATAATGTCCTCAGGACGTCGAGAGCGAGCCAGAGGACATTCTTAAGACGTCCTCCTGTTACCATTCTCAACATACTAATAACGTCTCAGAACATCCCTATAAAATCTTTTGAGACAACCTCAGGACATCATAGTAACAACTTGAGGCGGTTCTTGATGATGTTTCAAGGAGGTTCAAGATTTATGGGAGAATATTATTCGTATACAGAATGAGTCACTAGTGTGTTCTCCTCCTATATTAGCCAAACCGTCAGATATATAAAATGAAAATTCCAGTACAACAGTAATAGGGTTTCATAAGAACAATCATCTGAAGTTGTTTTCATATCTATAAGGTGTTCGAATTCCAAGATATCGGTTGATGATTGGTTTTTTTCAATGGAACACCTTGTATATTATTACATTTTTGAGTTCTCCCTGAAGAGTTGATTTCATCAATGCATCACACTTGGTGTCTAGTGGGAATTATTACAGAGATATAGGGTGTTGACAATCGAGATTCTTCAAATGTAGGATTTTTTGTGTCGAAACTATTCATTAATGGTCAAAACGGCTCACATGCCCCTGTCTTAACTTTTGATTTGCTATCTACTGATATTTATTTGGAACAGAAACAATATGCTGATCAGTATTCTGATTATTGAACCACCCTCTATTTGTTCCGATTGAATGTCATTAGATAGTAAATCAAAAGTTCATGAGGAAATGTGAGCCGTTTTGACCAATATTGAATAGTTTCCACAAAAAAAAATCCTAAAATTGAAAAATCTTGTTTTTGAACACCCTATATCTCTGTGATCATTCCCGCTAGACCTCAATTGTGATGCATTGATGAAATCAGCTCTTCAGGGAGAACCTAAAAATGCAATAGTATACAGGGTGACCTAGTTGAAAAAAAAAACAATCATCAGTCAATATATCTTGGAATTCAAACACCCTATACAGATATGAAGACAATTTAATGTGAAAGTTCTCATGAACCCCTATTACTGTTGTACTTGAATTTTCTCTATTTATCTGATGGTTTGGCTAATATACAAGGATAACACACTATTGACTCACCTTGTATTATGCAAATGATAATTTCTTCAAAATAATATGGATCTAATGATATTTGCAAAATTTCCCTCTATTTATAATAGGTTCAAATAAAAAACCAAATGAAAAACTTACATTCTATTATTTATAACTTATTCTGAAAAATTTCAATTTCCTTTTTGAAGAAATGTATTTCAGCTCCTTGTTGAGCACTACTATAAGTTATTGCCTATTGGTAGTTATATTTCTCCATGTTGTTTTTGATTTCTGAACTCTGGACATTCCTGATGCAGAATCAACTGGAAGTTGAAGCCTTCATGCAATATTTCATAGATTCTGAAGAAGCAAAACTATCTGAAACAAACAATGTATTAATATTTCATGTCCAGTACTTACTATCAATGATATGATTTATGTAGTAAGGTAGGTACCAACCATTATTGAATCTACTGAAAGTTCAAGTCTGCATTATGTACAATCTTTCATAATTTCCGAAGAAGCCAGAATATCTTGGAATAAAATATCTCTGCTCTGATGATATCACCATGTTGTGTTATCAATAACCTCCTGAAACAAATAATGTACCTATTAATATTTCATGTTCCAGTACCTACTATATCAATGATTTGATTCAGGTACCTACCTTTATTGAATATACTGAAAGTGCAAACATGCATACAATCTCACATAGATTTCCACAAGCCAAAATATCTTGGAATGAAACATCTTTGCTCTGATGACATCATCAATCTTGTGTTCTCAATAACTTCATCTGAAACAAATATTTAACCTATTAACATTTCATGTCCAGTACCTACTATATCAATGATTTGATTCAGATACCTACCTTTATTGAATTCATACTGAATGTTCAAGCTTCCATACAATATTTTATAGATTCTGAAGAAGCAAAGATATCTTGGAATAAAACATGTTTGCTATGATGATATCATCAAGTTTGTGTTCTCAATAACCTCCTGAAACAATAAATAATGTATATGGATGTATCGATATTTCATGTCCGGTACTATCAATGATTCTATTTAGTATTTACTCAGATTATCATCCTTCTGTTATTGTTATCTTTTAATTCTGTGCAATAAGTTCTTCTCGCAATCATTTCGTGAAATAGAAATTTGATGAATGCATGATGGAGGTATTCAATGAAAACTCTAATAATTTTGATATAATCATTAATATTATGATGTATCTTGAACAAATCATGACTATCATGAGACATAACCTCAATTCTAGTTCTTCTTCATCTTCCTTGTGTCTTCGATGACACGTTATTTCATGGAATGTCATCTGAAGACGTCCGTAGGCACGAAATTCTTTACATCCTCAGGCTGTCACTGAAAGAACTAATTCAGGACAATTACAGCGCTAAATTTACGCCTGATGATGTTCTCAGGTTGTAGAAAATGGAACGTCCTCTCCAGGCGTTTGGCGACACATTGAGGATGACCTTAGGCGAGTGTGTGCTATCTGGGCTGTTTCTGTTATTCAATAAAATGTATAGGTATATTTCAGTGAACAGTGATTTTATTATGTGATTTCAGGACGTAAGTATTTGTATATAAACGCTGTACAATAAAGGAGTGAATTGTCAAGGGGACGCAATATATGATGAACCAACATCATGATTTCGAGAATTCTTATTCGTATGTTCCTATTCACACAAATTCAAAATGTACTGATGAAAAAGATGGAAATATATCTTTACAGTTCTTTGTTCCTTCGTTTTGATGAATAATCAAATAGAGAAAATAACACGATGCGAATGAGTTTCAGCTTCACACTTTTGCATAATATAGATTTCATGTGTAATAATCTGAACATCATGATTGGTGGAGATAAGGTCACTGGAATTTCATGTTCGTTGTTGACCTCACGCATAGGCCTCTCGACGGAGTTGGTTCTTTATAGAGCTGGAAAGGCACAAAGCGAATATGGCACCAACAATCTGGAACAGAAGAGATATTTTTCGTCACGGGTATGACTGAAACATGAAAATCATTATGAATTTTGTTCATAGCCACCTCAATTATTTAAAACCAACTCAACAGAAATCGAATCATGTGCGTGCTTGAGAATAGCATCAGGAACTATAGAGCTTAGAGTGGCTCATGAATTACTTCTTCTGGATTTCTCGTAAGAAAACGTGGAAGATTTTTCTTGGATCTAGATAATCAAGTTTGATATTGTTAGGAATCATAGTGAAGTGAGACGTAGGGTTGTAGCACAATGTGGCACTACTATAACCACTAATCAATCATATTGTCTTCCAAAGATCCCATAAGAGCATGAACATTATTGATTATTTGAATAAGTGATGAAATCAAAATATACAGAGTGTCCGAGAATCCATGGATCATAATCTAGCCTATGAAAAACCACAACTCGACCTTAGTTTAAACCTCACAGTTAGTGATGCCCGCGAGAGTCTCGTTTTCGAGAGTCAGACATGGTCTCGTCTCTTTTTCGAGACAAGACTCGAGACGAGACTCGGACAAGACGAGACAAGACTTTTATGGGTCTCGTCTCGAGTCTCGTGCAACACTTCTCGTGTCTCGTGCGAGAGTCTCGCAGGTAAATATTTCTGCGTGCCGCTTGCATACTTGAGAATTTCACCCATTATACAACATCTCTAGAGAGAATTCAGACTATTTAGCACAGATATACAAAATATTTGTGACAAGACGAGACTCGAAGCTGCGTGACGAGACTCGAGACAAGACTCCATAATTTATCGGCGAGACGAGACAAGACTTTATGAGAGTCTCGTCTCGTTGGTCCCGTGTAAATCACTACTCACAGTGCTCGTGATAATATTGGAACATTTATACGGAAAAATTGTATTCTTATTCTCATGATCCAAGAGGACGAAAGTTTGAATTCGATACTCATTTTAATTAATTATAACTGAATTGTTGTTGTAGAACAATCGCAGAAGGCAGATTTTTGATAGCAGTCATTCACGGTCTACAAAAAAATAGCCTCCGACTCGAATCCTTAGAAATTTTCCATTATGACACTTTGTTCAGAGTTTGTTTGTATATCGTGAACGACTGCTATAGAAAATCAGTCTTCTACGATTCTTCAAATGACTATTCGTCAATATTTATCGGAAGATGAGAATTTGAATTGTTATGAACCGCTCCTCATGACCGTGAGGTGAGGTGGGGAGAGACGAGAACTCCGCAACCCACCCCGCAGCCCCCATGTGGTATCGTAGCCCTCCAATTTCCATTCAATAAGAGGATGTTGATTGGAAACTGCAGGAAATGGGTAGAGAAAAATAGTTGTGATAATAAGAGAGTGCATTGATCATTCTTTTTATTCATCTTCCTCCAGAAACAGGATGAATAACGAAATGATTGATCGATTGATTTATTGGCACGGCAGGTAGCAAGTCCTAGGTTCGAAAATATTCGTAGTTTACCAACTATGTTTCCCTCAGTTTCTTTATGCTTTTGAAGTGATCATTCAAACAAAATACTGTGGAGGCATCAAGGGTTGATAGTTATTCGATATTTCAATGATGTTTGTCCATGGAATCCTCAACAAAGCCCTCTGATGGACGTACCAAAAACGTTCCAACTTTCAACATTGGTTGTCCCCAGAACGTCCTCGAGACGTCTATCGACCGACAGTGGACGTCTTTGAGACGTTCTGATTATCTCAGATTGAATAAGTCCTGCAAAAGTTTTCGGGACGTTTTTGTGTTATCTGGGCAGGTAGGTTTCCTTCGTATAACTATGTGTTTCAGGTCGTTTCAGAATGCTTATAAATCTTCCAGAAGGTAAGTGAACATTTTTGAATATTCCTGTAAACTCGTGAATACTTCAAGCTGAACTAAAATTTTCTCGAAATATATGATCATTAGATTTCGCCTGTATTCCAAGGATCATTTTCCTCATTCCACATTCGATTGGAACACTCTGACAAGGACCTAGCGAATGGAGGGTAGGTACAATGTTCGGCCAGTATGATGGGGACTATCCATAGAAGAAGTACGAATGTGTGCTTATAAGGACATGCATTCTCACCTCGATAGAGGCGACAGCGACTGCTAGTATTCCCAGAAGATCCAGACCATTTTTGAACCATACATATGAACTCTCTGCACATCCTTTCCTGAAGCAGTCAGTAGACTTTATTCCACAATTGTTGGTCTGGCTAGCACAGCAGGAAATCGGAACACTTTCATTCTGCCATTTCCAATCTCGTGGTCCATCGACACCACAACATTTGAGCTAAAACAAGAGGATTATGGAATATCAATATAGCTTCATCGTACACTATTGACACAGGTTTAGAAAAAATAAGAATGAAATGATTTGTTATCACGGAATCATGATGGTTGACGATAGTATTGAGAATTGCAATTTCGCAGCATTGTTTTTACGACGAATAGTCCTCTGATTCATATCATACACTCACCGGCAAGAATACAGTCCAGAAAAAAATGTGAATTGATCAACCTGTGATTTTTCAAATTCTTGTTCGAATTTGGTGGAATTTCGACCAATTCCTAGATTCATGTTAATGAGTATCAGCCTGAATATCCATTCTCAAGGAAAGCTTTATTTTGACTTCATAATTATACAAGGAATAGTAAAAGCTATTTATCCAACATTGACTTCTTAACGTCTCGTGGTTATGCTTATTAGCTTCATCATGTTCAGGATTGGTATGATTCCTTCTCGATACTATATTATTTGTTCCTCTTTAGGTAGAATACGAATCAAGTGTTTTGGGAAAGTATGGGTTTTCTTAATTTTTTCACACACTTCTATTAGTTTCACCTGTATGTATGTATGTATGCGTATATGTATGTAACCGACTCCTTTGTACTCAATTTTGACCCACTTCAAACCGACCAATTGATTTGAAATTTAGCAGGTGTACATAGTTTGGGTGGCAATGCTTCACGAAATTGTGCACACAATGTGGCGTACGAATTTTGTAATTATGATCCGACTCTATTCAATATTTGTATCTGCGGGTTCTCGGAATCAGAGATCCTGATTATTTCGTCGAAATTTGAGAATTCAAGATTGCGGAGTCGATATAGCGGACGAGTTTTATAATTATTATGATCCGCTTCTATTCTAAATTGGTATCTGGATCAAAAGGGTTTTTGAGGTCGGTTTTGTAATTATATAATACGATTTCATTCAAAATTGATATCTAGGGGTTTCTTTGGTCGAAGATTATGATGCTCTATTCAAAATTGGAAAATTCAATATAGCGGATACAATATGGCAGACGAGATTCGTAATCATGATCCGATTCCATCTATAATAAGTATCTGGGGGTTGTCGGGGTAAGAGAATACATTAGAAAACACGATTTTGTAGTTGGGGGAACTAAAAAATTTGAAAACAAATAGTAGTTCATAAAACTTAAGAAATACCTTCTCATAGATAGTCCAACTGAAAAGAGATAGAAAATGAAATAATGAAAGTGTGTTGATATATACAAAACATAAAAAATATCAGCATCTCCGTAATCAGTACATTCTAGAAAATATTTGCATCTTCGTGATCAGTAAAATTGATATCCTGTAATGTTCAAAGTACATCGTGAGAACCAAGGGAAATGAGGTAGGAATTGGTGTTCTTCTGGAATTCCTGGAGGTAATATGCCTCGGGAAACACCTCCCTTGGCAATGTGTTCCAGAGTCTCCCTGTTCGTTGAATAAATGAGTATTTGGAGAGAGATGTTCTGCAGGTCTCCAAAGGGACCACGAAGGGTTGCGAAGCCTCAACTCGACGGATTAATCTCGCGGGGACTGCCAAGGGAAGTACAATTGTTGATATTCCAGAAGAGCAACGTCCGAGAAAAAATCAATGAAATAGAGCCAGATCGCCAACTTTTCCACGGTGTTCCAGAGAAGTGAGTGAGTTTGTGATCTTGTGAGCGAGGCATCATCCACAAGACGAATTAACCTTTTTTAGACAGAATCCAACAGTGTCAGGGTATGTTTGGGTGCTGCACTCCAAATATAGGAACAGTATTCCAGGACAGGTCGAATCTGTGCCTTATAAATCATAAGCAGCTGACTGGAAGTGGAATCCTCCTGGCCCAAAACAGAAAACCAAGTTTTTGGTATGCACTTTCAGCAATTCATCTCACGTGATGTTTCCAAGGAAGGTTATTGCTGCTAGTGATACCACCATCGGAATGGATGTCTTCAAAGGTATGGTTACTCCTGACATGCTTATGTTTGGTACAGTGTGATCGGCTTTTCTAGAGAAAAAGCATGCTTGTGTTTTGTTTGCATTGAAATCTACCAAGTTATTGGATCTCCATTCGAGAATTGTTGCCAAGTCCATATTTATGTTGTCAACATTTCTCCCTCGTTCGTATCTGATTCGCCTGGCTGGTATCGGAGCCCTGGAAAGAAGGCGGTATGGAGGGTTCATTCATCCGCGAAGCTGTATACAGGACATGAATTTGCTTCCAACAAATCGTTGATTTGAAATGGAAATAGTGTTGGTGATAGAATTGATCCTTGCGGAACACCAGCATTCATGGTAAGAGAATCAGATGAAATTTTGTCGACCACTACATGGAGAGACCTGTTTGAGAGAAAACTAGCCAACAGAGAACATAGCTGGGGAGGCACGCCATAAGATGGAAGCTTGGCGAGTAGTCCGTGGTGCCAGACTCGATCGAATTCTTTTGAGATATCAATTGTCACGGCTAAGGTTTCACCATATTCTTCGATAGATTGCCGCCATATATGTGAGACGTAAGCGAGTAGGTCACCAGTTGATCTCTGATGACAGAAGCCATATTGCCTATCGTTGATAATAACTGAATGTTTCAGGTATTTCATGAGCTCGATGTTGATAGCTTTCTCCATGATCTTTGAAATAATAGATAGCAGTGCGATCGGTCTGTAGTTGCAAGGTAGGGTCTTTTTGCCTTTTTTAGGAACTGGTTGTATTCTTGCAATTTTCCAGTTGGATGGCAATATCCCCAATTTGTAAGAGGCGTTGAACAACTTGCAGAGAACAGGTGTTGCTTCCGGAGCACATTTCTTGAGAACAATCGGTGGGATTCTGTCGGAGCCACAAGCTTTGTTGTTGTTGAGACCCAATAACATCTTGCATATAGTACGTTGGCAAAATGTGATTTCGGGCATATGACTGTTATTTGGCGTTATGTTTGTAGGTTGTTTGCCCGATGAATTCAGAGTGGAATTTCTAGCAGAAAAATGCGCAAAAATAATGGCTTTCACCTGGGCAGTTTTGACTAGTGCTCCATCTTCATTGGTTATAGGAGGAAACGAGCTGAAAGTGATGTTTCTTCCTACAGCTTTGGCAATGGACCAAAATGAACGAGATTCGTTAGGACATTCAACAAGTTTTGATCTCATTTTAGCATTATGAGTATCCTATGATCATCGACTCTTCTCATTGCATATGCCTCTGGCCAGGGCCTGGATTTTTCTGCCATCGATGGAATTTTGCCTGTTTGGAAACGACAGCTCTAAAGCAGTTTCTACTGAACCAAGCCTTGTCGGAAGATGTCCTCCTTGCAGTGTTTGGTATGCAGGATTGCATCCCAAACATGATGATTTCAGAAATCGTGTTGGATATGCTGGGGAGAAACAAACTCTCTTCCATGGGAACGCTGAAAAAAACATACGAAGACCTTCCCAGTCGGCCGAATTATAATGCCACAGGAGACGGGTAAGAATTGTGGTGCTGGATAGTACATGGTAAAAGCAGGTTCTGGAGATGCAGGTGTGGTCAGAGTTTCCAAGTCAGGCACAAACTTCTATCCTATATGGATCAGGATTGCTGGTGAGAAAGAGATCTAGTACGTGTATTGGCAGAATGGTTGTTGACATCTGGAATGCGGATTGATAGTTCGACTAGTTGTTCTAGACCGTGAGTGATGGCGAAGGCCTCAGTTTGACGACCTACATCATCTGTGTATTTGTCAACACACTACTATTCATGTTAACATTAATTCAGAACCTATAAATCATCTTTTGGATGAACAACGAAAGCGTTTTTTTATCGTTTTGACCTTTTCTTGCCAGAGACTCTTCGAGAACTACGATTCGCCCTCTTCTTGAAGGGCGAATCGTTATATCTGAGGTTATATCTTCAGACTGCTCGAGGAGTTTGATCAACTCGATGTCACGGCGGTTGAATGCTGTAATAATTGAAGTCCGAGCTTAGTTAACCTACTATTCATCGACCTATATTCAGGTCTGCTTCTCGTTTGCTTTTCGTGATCAGTGTTCTTTCGAGGGGTCAACCAAGTCCAATCCCGATGTAATCCGTCTAATCTTGGTGGACGGAGTTTCGTCTGATACCATTTCCATCAATTCCGGCGTCCCACAAGGATCACTGTCGGCTCCAACATTGTTCCTACTTCATATCAATGATCTGTTGGTGGCTACCACTTGCCCTATCCACAGCTTTGCAGATGATAGAACTCTCCATACTGAGTACTCTTCTAGAATTTCCATTCAGTTCCAGGAAACCAAGAACTCACAACGTCGGCAGGTCAACAATGTCAATGACGACAAATAACTGCCTATAGGGGAACAGAAACCTAGTTGAATTCAATGCCATCGAAACTGAAGTCTGTATTCTTTCTATCGGAAGGTGGAACTCAGCATGCCTGATATAACAAAGTCTGGTGAAACCATTCCCACCAAAAACACTATTTTCATGGTAGGTATCAGCAATACATTTTCATGGGAGAATCATGTTCGATCTATCACGAAAGCTGCTTCGCAGAAACTCGGATTTCTGACAAAGCAACAAAGCACAGGTACAGCCAGTTTCAGAATAATCTTCTCACATATGGGGTTCAGCATACAGACATAGGCTGATGCTCCTATAGATTCCATCCTGGAGAAAGCCATTCGCCTGGTGGGTGATGTCACACTCACAAAGTTTTTGACATCACTGGAACGCCGTAGAAATGTCGGCGACACATTTCTATATGAGTACTTCTACGTTAAATGATCTCCAGAAATTTCTGCAAATATTCCATCACAAACAATACCAGTCAGACGGGTTTGACAATCCCAATCAGCACATCCCTTCGTCGTCAACCCTGAGATATGCCGAACAAATCTTTATCAATAATCGTTCGCCTAAATAGGACGGCAAAGATTCGAGGTTTTTCGCTAATGGAAATATTCGTGAGAAATTGTAATCTCCAGAAGAAAGAAATAAATTCCTAATTCTACCTTCTTCCCCTATCGTTCTTGGATACG